AAAAAAAAAAAAAAAAAAAAAAAAAAAAGAGTGAAGGTTGAATTCCGCAGCCAGGTCCCCACTCGAGGCCACGTGCCTTTGCCCAGAGAGTGGCCATCGGGGATGCCACCAGAAGGGAGCGGAGGGCCTGCCCGGTGGGGTGCTGAGCCCGTTGTGCAGATGTGCACCCTGAGGCCAGGCGGCATGTGGGGAGCCAAGTGGGGTCCGGGCTGCTGCTGACCGAGCTGTCTCTGCCACCCCCAGATGAGACCCTGTACGAGGCTCCCGAGCCGATCTTCACCAGCAATAATTCGTGCAGCAGCCTGGGTGGCTGCTGCCTCTTCCTCAGCACCGTCCCTGTGCTCTGGACCCTCCTGGGCTCCTAGTCCCAGCCCTGCAGGACGCCGGCCCTGCTGGACAGCCCCGCCTGGACCGCCTGACCTCGGCCCTCCGGACTGGCCCTGTGGCCCCCACCTCCGAGACCAAATAGAGACGCTGCTTCTCCCTCCACTGGTGCTGCCCCCGCCGGGCAGGGGCCGGCCACCCGCCCCAGGACCAGCCCTCAGGGAGGGGACGGCTGAGAGCCCCCCGAGGCCCGAGGGGCTGGGGTGTCGCTGCAGCCCCGGGCCAAGCCATCTCTTCTGGGACGTCGGAGAACCCGGGAACCTCTTGGCGATTTTTTTTTTTTTTTTTAGTGTGTTTTTCATGGTTGGATCAAAAACACTTGAGTTTTTAATTTAATTTATTCCCTGGGGTTCAGGGGGGCGGGGTCCCGGTGCCCCAGCCTGGGGGAGGGGAACTCGGAACTTGGAACATGGGGTGAGGGACGCAGCTCCTCCTGTCTGCTCTGCACCCCACTTATGGGGCTCTGTCTGCAGCCCACCACGGAGCCCCCAGTTGCTCCAGGTTGGGTGAGTCTGAGCCGGAAGGGGTGCATGGTGAGTGCCCCTGATTGTGGTTGGGGGGACCTCACACCCCATCGCCTGCCCCCATCCTGCTGGTAATTTCCTCCCCGCCACTGTTTTACCCCGACGCCCCTCGGAATCACAGCCCCCCACGTCTTAGAAACTGCTTTCGCTGAGTCAAACACCCCCCTTCCCATCCCCCCCACCTCACACGGTCCTCCCTGAGGCCGACAAGACCTTCTATTCCTGTAAATAGAGCCAACAAGTGCATACTGTGATCTTATTTTTCATGTATTCCTGAGGATGGACTGGACCGTTTATGTTTTTTCCGCCCTTCATAGGGGGTCTTTTATTTTGGTGGGGGGGTGGGGTGGAACTTTTAGAGTAGAGGCTGCACTTTGCAATAAGCTCGTTTCGTCTGTCAGAGCCCCTCCCTCGACTCTGTGACCTGATGATGTTTCTAAGAAAAAGAAAAAAAGGACAAAAGGGAGGAAACCACTACCAAAAAAAAAAAAAATCAACCCCTCCCCGAAGACACTTTAATGAAGGAAGCAACGCATTTGTACGGATTTCATATTTCTACCCGCCTTTCCTGACTCTGTGTTTTATATATATTATATATAAATATATATTGTGTACGGCCGCCAGCCGGCGGCTCAGGCACGCCTGGTGGTGGGGGTGGGCGGAGGGCTTTTGTAGGGGTCGGCGGGGCGGGCCGCGTTGCCAGGCCTGGAGCTGGCGACCGGGCCTCCCCTCTTCCCGTCACAATCAACTTTGGATTCTGTATTTTTTTATAATAAAATGAGTGTAAACCTCAAATGTGTGTGTCTGTATGTGGGGGCCTTGCCCCTACGTGAAGGAGAGTTTAGAATTCCTAACTTGGAGGGGGTTCACGCCCGTGATTCTAGCACTTTGGGAGGCTGAGGCGGGCGGATCGCATCGCTTGAGGTCAGGAGTTTGAAACCAGCCTGGCCAACATGGTGAAACGCCGTCTCTAGTAAAAATACAAAAAAAAAAAAATGCCGGCCGGGCGCGGTGGCTCACGCCTGTAATCCCAGCACTTTGGGAGGCCGAGGCGGGTGGATCACGAGGTCAAGAGATCGAGACCATCCTGGTCAACATGGTGAAACCCCGTCTCTACTAAAAATACAAAAAATTAGCTGGGCATGGTGGCGCGTGCCTGTAATCCCAGCTACTCAGCCTCCTGAGTAGCT